GGAGCAATTTTGATCAGTTTTTGGTTATTAGTAACAATGGTGATCAGTGATTGGTCATTGGAAACAATGGTGATCAGTGATTGGTTGTTGGGAACAATGGTGATCTGTGATTGGTCATTGGAAATATTTGTGATCAGCGATTGGTTGTTGGGAAAAATGGTGATCTGTGATTGGTTGTAAGGAACAATAGTGATCTTTGATTGGTCATTGGAAACAATGGTGATCTGTGATTGGTTGTTGGGAAAAATGGTGATCTGTGATTGGTTGTAAGGAACAATAGTGATCTTTGATTGGTTGTTGGAAACAATGGTGATCAGTGATTGGTTGCTGAGAACAATAGTGATCAGTGATTAGTCATTGGAAACAATGGTGGTCAGTGATTGGTTGTTGGAAACAATGGTGATCAGTGATTGGTTGCTGAGAACAATAGTGATCAGTGATTGGTTGTTGAGAACAATGGTGGTCAGTGATTGGTTGTTGGGAAAAATGGTGATCTGTGATTGGTTGTAAGGAACAATAGTGATCAGTGATTGGTTGTTGGGAACAATGGTGGTCAGTGATTGGTTGTTGGGAACAACGGTGATCAGTGATTAGTCATTGGAAACAATGGTCAGTCGCTAGCTCATAAATGTTGCTAGATTTGTTGGTAGGCTATTTTTTTAAATAAAGTCACTACAAAGGTGTTTACAAAGTCACCAAATCTAGTGACAAAGTCTGCTAGAGCAAATAATATGAGCAGTCTATTGAATGAAAAAAAGGAAATAATGAAGCAGGACAAGCATAATGAATATCTTGAATAGATATAAAAAAAATACCTTGCAGGAATTTGCAGCGAGTTTAAATCGAAACCTACATCCTATTGATATGAAACCACAGTACAAGCTTCCAAGAGACCTAATCAATTTAACAAGCAACCGCTAAATCCTGTGTTATGGAAGCATTACCCAGGCGGACCCTTGGCTCCTTGAAGAAGCAATTAGACACACAGAGCATAAATTGTATATTTTTTCCCTCAGCAGCTGCTTCTGCACTGAACAACAGTATGATAAGGTGGATAGGAGAAGGGTCAGTGAAACACACTGCTCTGGGACTAATAATGCACCTCTGATGGGTGGAGGGGTGAAAAGGTGAGGCAGAAAGACAACTCAGGTCCCAAATGCAGACGGTTTGAGAACGTGGACTGAGTCAAAGGCTTGCTCCTCACTTCTCTGAGCATTAAACCGAGAACTTAGCTCAGAAATGAGCTCTCTCTTCAGCATGATCCCCATCAACCTCTTTGCAAAATAGAAAGCATTACCTGAAAGTTTTATTCAGCTTGGAAAATGTTTTCTACAAGGGGAATAAATGTAGAAACTAAGCATTTATCCCTGGTTTAGACTTTAGTGTTCGATAGAAAAGGTCTGATTAGCATTCCAAAGAGTGGCATGTCAAAATAAAGCACTTAAACGAAAAGAAAGACAAAAGAGAACTGTGGAAAAAAGGAAAGAAGAGGATAGATAATTAGAAGCTTGCTAGCCAAACAGCATCAGCATGCAAGAGGAGATGCAAAAAACATTAAAAACACTTATGGACCAGGACGAGAGACAAACCAGAACTATTGGCACCCTTAATGAAAATAACTTAATAATGCATTAATTAAGTGATATTTTGAGCTTAAAGATATGGAGTTTGTCTGTTTTTTTCTTTCAAACATAAAATTAGTGCAATGATTTTCTGCAAAGTACAAGTTTTGAAATTGTTAATACTTGCTAATATTTAATTCTTGATAATCTTAAAATTGAATTTGCAACTTTTAAAACATTCATGGCCCTGAGTGTGCTTAATCATATTGTTAACTACTTTTATATTAATGAGTTTATATTAATGATATGGAGGTGTTTTTTCTTTCAAACATTTTCAACGTTTTTTCTGCACAGTACAAGTTTCTAAATTTTTAATACTTACTAATATTATATTTTTGATAATATTTAAATTGATATTATGAAACATTTATGGCGCTAGTTGTGCTTAATCATATTTTAAATGCTTTTATATTATTTTATATCCATGACGCAGACTTCATTTTTCCCCATTCCGAACTTTTATTACAGTTTGGCCTATGAAAACATTTACACACAATGCTACTAAAAAATGATAAATGAGGCCCTTTTTGTGCATTTTTTTTATTTTGCACAATGATTTTTTCCTTTTCCCGTGTTATAAAAGGTGCCAATAATAACTGACTCATTGTTTGTTAGATACTGACTGTGAGAAACGCACAGCCACCAAGCACAACACTGTACATGTACTTAGAGGAAAAATAACAACTTGTTTGAGTTTGAGTTTGAGTGGATCCTAGTGGTTTGAGATATTTTTTTAAAATGGATGATGCTGTAGTATGAATATTAACGAGACATGAATTTCCGACAGGGCACAATTTCTTTATTCATGGGCAAAAGTTATAGGCCCACATATTAGCATGAAAAGTGATAGATTCATCACTTTAGAAAGCTCTCGCAATAAATGCCCATGTTTTTTTTTTTTTTTTACTTGAAGTGGGATCACCACTTGAAAAAACAGGCATCAGATGGAAGCTCTGATAATAAGCTGGCACTTCTCAGGCTCACAGGGAGAAAGAAGAGCACTCGTTCATGATATGAATCTCATTCGAGTTGGCTGCGTTGGCTGCTTTGCATGGACGGCCGTATTGACGTGGTTTGCACTCCACGCTGCGATTTGTCACTGGCTCCCAGCGTTCTTGGTGCTCCACTCCAAAGCGCATATGAGTAAACGCTCTGTATCTGCATGCTCCAGTGCCACCGAAACAGCCCAAACCACAACAGGCCATTAAAGGTACCTCACCATGAAGAGAGATTAAGCTGCGGGGGGAAAAGAGAGAAAGAGAGAGGAAAACATTTCCTCACAGCCCCGGAGACAGACAAGAAAAAAAAAGATCTCCTTCTTCACACAGGCAGATAAGATGCACTTATCTCATTCTCTGTCACTATTAATTGTTTGAAGAAATGCAAACATCCTGCTACTGAATAATTAGATATATCTCCACTCATTTCCATTTTTCGGGCAGGAAAAACTTGACCAAGCCTGTCAGATTTTCACACTCTCATTTCTGAAAATGAGAAAGGAAGAGAGAGAGAGAGAGAGAGACGGTGAGCCAAGAGGTCCTTCTATTTCATGCGAACGAAGAAGAAATACAAGTTTCATCAAGCGTGAAGGAACAACTCATTATAAAACTGAAACGTTTCAGTCCTGCTGTTGGAAAAATAGAAAAAAACACACCCAAAAATGCCTCTAACATCAAAAAAAAAAAAAGATGGAGATAATTTAGAAATGAATTTGACTTCCCGTCCCCTTCAACAATGGAATGCTCTGAAGATGAATGATTAACGTTAAGCCACAAAAAACTTCATTTTCATGGACTCATTTCCGTTTGGATAAGAGATGAGTTCAAGGCTCACCTGGTCTATCTTCAAAGCAGAAGAGTTTAGAGGAAAAAATGAAGCAAATACTTAGCAGTATGTGATATTCAGAACTTTGTATTTGAGGCTAAAAGCCTTATATCACCTGCCAGGGTGATGTCATTCAGAGGTGTGTTATTAGTTGTTGTTTTTTTTTTTCCAGTGTGAAAGCGGCTGTAAGGCAGCTCCACTACACACTAGTGAAGCTGCTTCTCTTGGGACCTGTGGATCCACCATCTGGTAGAAAGGAAGCGAATGAGATGGAGGTGATGAGATGCTCCATGCTGGGCTCCAAATGGAAAGCCCAATTCGTGGTAGGGGAGCGAACATACAGAACTGGAAATTGGCTGGCCGGTGAGGGAGAGCGAGGCACTGCTGAGGCGGCGAAGAAAAACTCGCAGCCCGAGGAGACAATGATCTGCAATTACCTTCAAGTCTCCGTCCAATTTAGTGCAGGCATGAAAGACGGAATGGAGAGAGGGAAGACTGAATTGTCTACAGAGGAGACCTGTAACGAAAGGGTAAAAGTTTTTTTTCTAAAGCGGTGGTCGTGTGGGAGGATTTTCTTACGTGGATAAGTGGATGGACGCGGCGTAGGGGGCGTAAGGGTACTGGGATATTTTTAATTAGATGACGGACACACGGGAAAGGGGCATTTAATTGGATGGGAATCGACTGGAGGACAGGAAAGATTTTATTGAGGGAAGGGAGGGAGGCCAGGAGTGAGAGTAAGTCTCTAATGAGAGGAGAGGATGAGAGCGAGAAATGGAGAGAGAAAATTTCTTTTTTTTTTCCTGAGGAAAGCTGCAGTGTTACTCACTGCCAAGGGAGTAAAGGGAGTGTGCCTATGGCAAATCTGTCATTTAAGATAGCAACTAATATAGTTTGTAGTTCCTTTTTCTTGCAAGATTTTACAGACAGTTCAGCCTTGTGAACTGGTTACTATGAAAACCGTCCAGAATCGGCTAATAGTTACTTAATAGCTGGACAAAGTGGTAACTGAACTCCAGGATCTAAAAGATGGAAGAGCAGGAGATGGATCCGAATGCTGATCAGCTGGCTCCGCACTCAGAGCTCGTCACTCCAGCGCTCCAGGTGTGTGGTTAATCAGAAGTGCCTTTCCTTTCGTTTTCAAATTGGACAGAAGGAACAGGTCCCCCAGGAGCCTCCTTGTCAGCATTCATCTTCTAAATGAGAATCTCTCCTCCACTCCATCATGTAGGCTGTCGAGGCGTTCTCTGGGAGGTGCCAGTTCCGCTCGTGCTGCCACTTATATACCATTCCTCAGCATTTTTCTCACTGTACCTCACACCACCTTCACCAAACATCGCATTTATGAGGCTGAAAAATGGCCGTGTTGTGCGTGCCAATATATATCCAACAAATGTAGGCTGAAAATGCACCTGCTGCACTAAGGCTGCGTTCACATTACAAGCCTTGCATGCACATATCAATATCAGAAAAAATGTCTTGCGAGACTTGCCTCGGCAGCAGCGTATAACTGCTTTTTGGACTTCATACAAAAAGACAACTGTTTCTTCTTGGCACAGTGGTGGCTCAGTGGTTAAGGCTGCGGACTACCAAACAGAAGGTCATAAGTTCAAGCCCTAGCACTGTCATTCTGCCACAGTCAGGTCTGTAAGCTCCTGGGGCACTGTATCACAACTGACCTTGCAGTCTGACCCCAACATTCTAACAAGCTGGGATTTGCAAAGAAAAAACACTGTACTATACTGTATGTGTATATGTGATAATACAGGCTTTCTTCTTCTAATTTCTCGTACTTTTACACAATCCATCATAGCAGAACCAACAAATGAATGTCCTACTACTCCCAGACTGCATCATAATGTTGCTCTGGTCAAGAAGCCAAAAAAAAAAAGCCAGACAGATAGCTGGAGAGGAGCCAGCAATTGTAGGACAGTGATGTAGACAGAATTCAGAGTATTTCTACAGAAGAACAAGAGGGTTTATTAAACAAATTCTTAAAAGGGGCACTCTTGTGATCATGTCCGCTACATTGATTTGAGTCTTTTGCTGCCTTGAGCGTAGCCTTAAGGATCTTTATTTGCATGAAATAAATCAATAAATGAACAGTTCTTTTGTAAAACCAACAGTAAGCCTGTTTTTAAAGACACCGGGGCAGTTACCACGGTAACTCGGTTAACCATCACAAGGCACAGGCTTATGTGAGACAGTTTAGCCCAATGCACAAACTCTGGGGAGGGGAAAAAAAAAATCAGCGGGATATTCTGTAACTGAACAATCATCAAAATGTTCTGTTACTTTTTCCCAAGCAGCACGATGTCACTCTTCCCCATTAGCCTGATGCTTCATACCCCCTGGCTGCAGCTCTCAATAAAACTGCTTACCCCAACCAAGAGTGTGATATTTAATTGCACCCCCTGTGTCTCCCACAACAAAAGATCCATCTCTGTTGTTTTCCTTTTTTTAGTCTCCACTTTCACTTTTTTCTTTAGCAACTGTTCATTCTGGCCATTATGACAGCCTCCTCAGGAGGTTTCCTGGTTATCCTGAGACAACTATTCTCACTTGGTTTAAGAAGTTCTTTAACGTCGAGTTTCCAAGTAACAGTCTAGCCATATACAGCATCTTGGGCCATAGGGAAAAAAGAAGAAAATAAAGAAAAGTGTTTTAGCATGCTATTACACAGACCTGGAAATAAATGACTGAATGGGAGAAGAAATAATGGAATGAGCATGAAACAAACGACAGACTAGCAGACCAGAAAGGAATGATTGACCATGAAATTGGATCTAAACAACTGACCACTAAAAAAAAAGGAGAGGACGACAGGCATGATGGGAAAGGAAAGGGTGCAAGGGTGAAGTGATCTCAGGAACAGCACGTATTCCTAATATACTGTCCTCAACATTGTGATGTGATAGGTGACAGTGTAGCTAGAGCAGTTTCTTACAAACTTTCCACTCCTCTAAAGACTTTTTTCAGTTCCCCAGTGTTTCAGTGTTTCTATATTTCAGCCAACTGTCTTATGAGAAGGAAAGGTGGTTTGAATTGATTAGAAAATCTGCATGGCAAGCATGCGTACTGCTCCGAGTCTAATCAGCAGCATGTGTAATTGTTTGCACTGGATATAAATTGTAATTCATAAGAGGATCAATAAAGGAACACATTGCATAAGGCTGTAGTACAAACTCATATTCCTGCTAGCCGTGTCTAAATCCTCAAATAATATTGAACGCACACCACTTTACTAAACTAAATAACATGACTGGCCTTGTCTCTACACTCCCAGAGAGAGACAGATATTAATAAATACATAAATACTAAATACACTTTTCCCATTTTTAAATCTCTGCGCACACACTAAATGGCGATTAACCATCGCCACCCGTAGTGAATAAGTCATGCATTAAAGTCTTCATATAAACTGATGTGACATTTTATTCAAGATGGCGCAGCGGGTAGCGTTGCTGCCTCATAGCATCCCTGGTTTCATCTTGAGCCTATGCATGTTCCATGCTTACAGAAATTTCTTCCGGGTTCTTCTGTTTCCTCCCACTTCCCAAAAACATGGTGGTGAGTGGATTGGTTAATTTAATTGCCCTATGTGTGAATGAGTGTGTGTGTGTGTGTGTGTGTGTGTGAGATGGACTGCCATCCCATCCAGGGTGTATTCCTGGGATTAACTACAGATCCACTGTAACCCTGACCAGGATAAAGCTCTTTACTGAAGATGACAATGAATTTATTCATAATTAAGAATATTCTAAACAGCTTTTCTTTTCATGTCCAGGTATGTTCCTGTCAAACATCAACTGATGGGCTGAAAGCAAAATCCAATAGCAAGTCATAAACTGAGCACTTAAAGTTTTTTTTGTTTGTTTGTAAAGAGGATAGTAAAGAAGAAACTTTTATTAGGTCTGAAAACCATCTAGTCATTGAGGGCCTTTACTGAAACAGCTTCTTCCCTCCGGCAACATTCTGAACACCTTCCTGCCTTCTAACACCCACCTGAACAGAACAAACCCAATCAAACAGTGCACGTTTTATTCACGCCTGCGCTTTACAGCACAGCTTCATCTCCTGGGCTTCACTTATACCTCATGACCTTACAGATGTGTACTCATCTAATAGCCTGCTGCATTCATATTGCACAGCTTTACTCAGATTTTGCACATTATGCCAACGAATGACACACCTTGGCGTCAATCTCTGGAACTGTACTGATCAATGACTGTTCTTCCGAAAGATTTTCCCTCCGTTGGTGTTTTGATGATGGTGGTGGAGAGCGCTGTCTAACAAACTGCTCCAAAATCTCCCTACTGAATCGATATCTGGTGAGCGTGAAGGTCATAGCCTCAGACTGCAGTGAGTCCTCATGCCCTGTGGATGGGGCAGAGTCACCCTGGAAGAGACCATGCCCATTAAGATAGAAATGTTTCATCATCTGGATATAAGAACTTTGGATTGGTCTGCAGTGATGATTCAATCCAAGGGGATGAGTGGAGCCAAAGCATGGAAGCAAAAATAAACAAATGCCCCCTACAGCATTTAGCATTTTGTATCTGTTTAGAACACATTATCTGTTCATCTTAAATAATGTATTTGTATTATGTTACGTCCCTAATGAGCGTACTATAAATAAGAGTCCTGAGATGAGCAAAGGAAAGTCTTTATGTAACCATGCTATAGTGCATTGCTCAGTGGAAAAGCTGTATATAACTATATATAATAACCATGATGTTTTTGCAGCACTTCTTTTCTGAAGTAAGCAAAGGTCCTTTTTTCAAGCCCTTTTTTCAGCTCATTGTGTGTGAAAGAGCAGCAGTTCAAGCAAAAGCAGGACCGTGATCAGACAAAAGCAAGGCAGCAAAGAGCATCACATCAATATTGCGAAGGCGTGTAAGGCTGAATTGGTTAGCACTTATGAAAGAAAACCATGGCATTCTCCAATTACTCTTCCCCTCAGTACGACGCGACCTTGTGTTACGATTGCAGTTTCAATCCAGCATTATTGTCTCTGATTGAATGTCTCGTGAAACAGGAAGGTGATCGGTCTCCAGCGGTGCCCGTGAGACTTGATTATTGTAGAAGCACTGTGATTGTTGAGTAGGTGGCATTGCTCTGATCAGTCAAAATTAACCAAAATGAAACATTGTTCTTAGGTGCAAAATAGCGAGAAATGAGAGAAAATAAACATGACTCACAGACTCATATCACACAATATTCCCTGTTTCCTTCCTATTGTCAAAGAGTAATAATTACACAGGCACTGTCTCAAATCGTTCTCCATAATCTTACTCTTAGGTCAGATCAGTGTGTGGTTCCTCACACCCTTAAACCAGAACAACAAACCCTTTTTTAACACTACACAATTGTAGCCCAATTTCCTTTTGGGAATCGGCGACAAAGCGCTGCATGTTCCCATGGTGACCGCTCACGTAGCGTGTAGGCTCTGATATTTTTAAGCATGTTTGAAATTTTGTAGCGTCAAGTACCAAGAACAGCGATGTGCAACAGCCAATTAGAGTTCAAGAGGAAATCCTGAATTCAGGATCTATCGTTCATTTATATGTGTGGGAAGGCAAAATATAAACACAATAATAATGTTTCTATAAGAAATTATTTGGCAGGTCATACACAATCAGTGATTATGAACATCGAAGAGTAAAAAATAAATAAATAAAACGCAAATACAGCATGATTCCTGATAGTGCATAGTTCAAAAATAGCTATTTATTTTCCCTATACCTCCAGTTCTCCTTGCAGAACAGACAATTCTTGCTCCAGTGACACCACAAATCCTTCCTCCAAATTCATCTCTTATTTCTCTTTTTTTCTTATTGCTGAAGCAACCACCATGTGGTTGTTATCAGGTTATTTCTCATTCTCATGAGAAAAGTGAGATTTGGAGATCTCTCCATGTGAAAGATTGTGTACACTGAGCCTTTTCCATAGGTTTTATCATAATATTAAACTACACTTAACACAAAAGTAAAATGTCAATGTGTATGAATAATACAGCACACTGCATTTATATTTCTGCCATTTCTTACCCCACCTACCAAGTAACAATACAACCACAAGAGAGAAAGTGATAGTGACTTGTTGCTTGCTAGCGTGAATGCAAGGTAACACATTTAATTGATTCACAGACTTGGATCATTCTCAGGTAAGGTTTTGTGCCTGAGAAAAGTGAAAAAATACACAATAATGCAATATCCAAGGTGCCACCATCACTAACAAGAAAACTCCTAACAGGCAGAGGGGGAAAAATTACAATATTGGCATATCAGTGGACCGGACGGCTTCATGGGAACAGCAGAAATTATCAAACGTTTATGAGTATTAAATGATGTTTAACTGCAATCTGCAGAAGTGTTTGGATTTATAAGTATCCACCTGAGTGTTAACAATTAACTGTCCATGACTGAAAAGATGATGATTTACTATTCAATAACTGATACATAACTGTACATCTACAATACATCAAACAAATCAACAGCTTGTCCACTAAAATAGGTACACGAAATACTTTTTCAAAGCTAAAATTATGAAGCAATTTAGAAAAAATAGATGATGCACAGCTGTAACATTCAACGCTGATGTCAAATGTGATGGGGTTAATACAGAT